TTAGGATTCTAATTTACATAATATCTAATTTAAGAAGACAGGAAATGTAATAAATGTAATTTAATTCCCACTGTTAACCAACGAAAGGTGTAAATTATTGTAAGATAATTTCCATGAACCATTAACTAATCTGAGATCAGAAGTCAGCCATTTCTTTTTCTTACTATTTTTACTTACTGGACAACATGGCAGAAACTCACCATTAAAATAGTTCACTGGCAAGTTCTCTGTAGAAAACTTTTAGGCTGTAGCAAATAGAGCTACAATATATGAAATCCTTCAAGAATTTAATTCAAAGTTGGGGGTGTGCTGGAGACGGAATCTTAGCTGCACACATGCCAGGCACATGCTTATTGCTGACCTACCTTTTCAGGCCTCATTTTCTACTTTTAAAAAGATTGAAACAAGACAGACATTGTGTTTAATGGTTATGCTGACTGAATCAAGCACAAAATATTGGGTTCACAGTGTGGTTTAATTGTGTAGACTTGAGTCAGTGGCTTGACCTTTGCAAGCCTAGAAGCTTCAATTTATCTGCTTTCTAAATATACTTACAATAAAAAATGCCATTAGAAGTATTTTGTGAAGACGAATGTCAGCTAAGAACTATGAGGCTCCTGGGTAAGAGATGAAACAGCATTCCAAATACCACAGCTACAAGCTAATGAAAATTTAATGTCACTTAAAAACCACACAGCTATCTGGGGTAGATTCATAGATGACACATTGGTCTCATTTTTTACATTATGTTTTAAATGTAGAAAATATGATCTAGAATAGCTTTTGAAAACTACAGTGGCCAAGATCATCTATATTCTTTTTGCTTTTGCAAGAATCCTTATGACTCAGAACTCTGAAAAATCCTAGCTTTCGTAGCAAAAATAATTTGCTTTTAATCATGAAAACAGTTGACTCTTTTCTAGTGAGAAATAGAAAAGGATTTCGGCTGAGATACTCATATGCTGGGCCTTTTTATGTTCAAGTTCACTTATATGTTACCAGATTTCTTTTTCCACGGCATTTGCACTAATTGCTACTCAAATACATTATTTTGGTGATGGGTTTACTGTGCTTGATCCAAGTAAGGTAAACATGTGAAGGAAATGAAATAAGGGATTTAAAATAACACCTATTGTGAGTTTAGATTTTGAAAGAACTAATGTCCAAATATTCTGATGAAACTAGAAAATTCCATCAATTCTGCCAAATGCTTCTTCAGTTTAACAATGATACTTTAAGTAGCCTACACTTCTCCAGAGAGCACTTCTCCAGGAGCAGGGTTTAGCTGAGTCCATGGGTTGCATTGCCTGGGTGCAGGTCAAGCATATCACACAAGTAAAATGTTCATTATAGTTTTAACCAACAGAACCTATACATGAGAATTATAAAACTTATTTTATGTTTAATGTAACCAGTAGCAACCATTCATATTTGTGGTAGGGTTTTGCATGGCATCTGACCTGTTTTGGCTCCTGGAAACCAGTGCAAAGTATGGGAAACCAGCTTTCAGAGTTGGGAACTAAGGATGGTAGAAACTTGTGGAATGGGCAGTGTGACATGGATGACATTTTGGAACCTTTGTCTTTAGGGGACTTGGAGATAAATTCACACCATCCTTTCTTTTGTAGATAGAACTACACCTTTAGACCAGAGAGGAAAGGATTCTTCAAAGAACACAGGCTGTCACCTCCAGAGTTAGAGACATTAACTAGTAGTGACTACACTTTTGAAGTGGTATGTGATATGTCCCTTTTCCTATACCCACGGTCCTAACATTTTACTATTCATTCTATACTGGGTGGAGGTGGGTTGGGGAGGCCACAGAGTGAGATTCTAGCTTCCACCGTAACCCTGTACATTAATTTTAATCCTATGTTAACTTAAATAGGTTCTTCTCTATGCTTGAGTTGAACGGCTGAGACCCCCAAAACATGTTGTTATAACTATAGATATTGATCATCTATAAATAACATTGACTTTAGTTACCTTGTCTAGTAAGCATGATAAGGTATTTTTTTTTTACCAGAGCCATAAAAATGTTGCATAGCATGCCCAGACAAAAACACGGAACATTCTCTTTCAGGCTAGGAGCTACCGTTCCTCTTGCTGCACTACCCTACCCCCCTTTTCACAGAAGGCTACTTAACAGGCTGATGCCAGAACGATCCAGGTTAAACTTTCATACCATGTCATTGCTGTGAAAGTCTTTTAAATCAGTACAATATAAACAATTGGAAGACCATGACATAAATGCACCTAACTTAGTCTTCATCAGTAACTGCAGTACATGTGGGCATTACAAATCTTACTTTATGCGCCACACCACTTGCACTGAACCTGGCCCTGAAGAGTCACCCACTGGGTACTAAGTGCATTGCTCCTTTCATACCACACTGCAGCCTTCAATGGGCACTGACCTGTATCCATCTGAATATATTGAGATTATCATTAGCATTATTGAAAATAAGTAACAGATACATGGCAGAAGAAGTAAATAAACATACAGGCTGCCAATCAAAGTGGTCAATATTTAAAATATGATAAATGTAAAACTAAGCCATCATCAAGTTTACTTACCAATTTTGTCAGCCTGAATGGCTTGAAAATGGTGTGGTAGGAAATAAAATGTTTTCTTAAAATGGTTGTGTTTTTTTATACAACACAACAGAAAACCATTTCTTTCTGTGTAGTTATTTTCCAAATTTCTGATGGTTTAGAACTCACACCCTCCCTTAACAATAGATAGAGAATGATTTTCTAGGCGTCAAAAACTGCTACTTTGGGAAAGGTGAGATTGTAATGTGGAAGAAAACATTTTCCTAAGATAGTTACAGGGCACTGAAGTTCTTTGAAGAAATTATGATGTAATTTTAAACGTTCTTCTAAGAAAAAGACATTCTAGAAGTTTAAGGCACTCTCAGACACTCCAACTATAGAATTACTGCCAACTTTGCTCTTACTGTCACAGAATGGTTGTCTTGGTGAAGAAGAATCCTTCTATACCTATCTTCCTAAAGATGATCTAGCTGCCATGACAACTTTAAGTACCAGTGAGGATTAAGGGATGGTCTCCTCACAGTGCTTTTGTTCCAGGTCCATGAAGAAGGAAAAAATCAACTCTCACTGCTTTGTGCTCATATCTTCAGAAAAGTGGGATGCTGGCTTCCCACTGTTTTAGAGGAAACACATTTAAAACACTGCAAAGATATATTGCAATACATAAAGCTGTGACTATTCACTGCTGTTTCCATGATGCGTAATTTAAATGCAGTGACTAGGACAAGAAAATGTCACATTCCTTTCTCTTTCTAAGGAAATTGCATGCTTTCTTGTAAAAATAAAAAAAAAAAATGAAGTCTTCAAAAGACAGTTTTCAAGTTTTTTCTCTCAGGTTAAAGGTTTCTATAAATTTTCATGATGGCTTTCAAAGTTGGACAAAGGGAAAAAAAAAGGCAAAACATTAAGCGTGCATGCAAGTTTGGTCTTCTCCAATGACAAAACATCCCAAGTTATGTGACCTTCAAATCTCCCTTATAGCAGGCACTTTTCAAATTTTTGATTATGTTTCTTCTCCATGATCTGCAGTTTTGTAAAAAGAAAGTCAATCTTTTATCTTTACCAGGACTGGGGAGAGGAGAGAGGAATGTACATTTTTATTGAAGTGTAAATGGCCCTGTCATGGGCTATGGATGAATACTCGTGTTTGGCTTATATAATAAGGGTACTATGAGCCTTGATTGGGAATATTAATTTTCCCTGGAACTTGAGTAATTCTGAATTGCCTCTTTGAAATACAGATCAATCAAACATTTTTCATTCCATTAAAATGAAATACAGGAAAAGTTTAACGGTAATGACAGACACTGTTATAAAGGCTTGTTAATACATTCAATCCCTACATGGGCCTTTGAGACAGGGATTGTGATCATCTCTCTCACATGGGGGCAGAAAGGGAGGTAAGAAAAGCCAAGGACTTCGGCAGAATTTACAAAGCATCTAAATGTTGGGCTCATATTCTTAGCTACTTTGTGGGGATAAGAGGTCTTAAGAGAGAAAGGAAGATGGACAAGATGAAATGGCCATGCTCAAGTCTGTTCTCTCAGTGAGAGCTGGGGTCCTTGTGTGGTTTCAGAACTTGGTCCAGGGTACAGGACTTTAAAATATTCTGGAAGATGAGTAGATGAGTCATGAGATTTCTAAGGGCTAGGTCTAGATTTCAGAGGGAGACAGGAAAGTCCCAAGATCAGCTTCCGGCCCTTAGTGAACTGGGCCAGATCTGGGTTTTGTGAGCTCCCACAGTGGCTTTGTTCATCTCTGTAGAGGTTCCAGATTGCAGAGCTGGTAATCATGTTAAGTGCACAGACACCAGGCTTCCTGTGGAATAATGTTAGATGCTTTCTCCAAATGATAAATATGTTATGGAAATAAACATATGCAAGGAGACATGTGTGTGTGTGTGTGTGTGTGTGTGTGTGTGTGTGTGTGTTGAGAGAGAGAAAGAGAGAGAGAGAGAGAGAGAGAGAGAGAGAGAGAGAAAGAAAGAAAGAGAGAAAGAAAGAGAGAAAGAGATCTGATCCCCTTCATTATTAACGGCACACCAGAAGTTAACAGTACCAGCATATGGAAAGTTCATTTTGTTCTCAAGTTTGCTAACAGTGAAAAGAGCTTGCTCTGGTTCAGAAAATTTTAATGGGTTCTGATTATATAAATAACTTTCGTTAACCAAAGAAATAGTATATATTAATTTACCCATGACCAGAATCAACTAGTACTTGAATGTTAAGTACAGAATCTCCCCTCTCCCCTACATCTACAATAACTTAACAAAATGGAACACATCCAAAATACAGTGACAAAGTTTAAGCTTGGGATCACTGTTTCTTTAAAGTCAACTCAATTGTACATTTGTTCCATGGCTTTCTTGTATTTGCAAACATACAAGCTTATTAATGACACTACTCTAACAGTTTCCAAATTATCCAATAAATCAGCAAACTTACCTTTTGCCCATTCATGCCTGGGGTCCCAGGTGCTCCTATGGAACCCTAAGGAAGCACATGATTAAATTAAGTTGATATTTTGATCAATATTTCATATCTAAGTCTGTGCAGTGTTTGTTATGTCAGTCACAATATTACATGACTAAAACAATATCTACCACCCATACAAATGGTTTTCTGGCTGTGTTTTCGAGATTTTAACCACTCTGTTCTAATATCTAGTAATCTAGACAGATCTTAATACTTTCCCAGAAAGTAGAGATAAAGTTTAATATTCTTTATGAATACTCACTTAACTATAACATGACTTACAGAACCTCATATAAATTGAAAGCCATAACATTCAGGAGGCCACATGGCTCTAAATTTTGTTTTAAAGACATGGACAATCTAATTCCTCCAGGAGAAGGCCAAGCAGTAGCAGCAACTCTTGAACTTGCCAAGTTTATAGAACACAAAACAGAGGGTAATTAAAAAAGCAACTGCTTACTCTACTACATGAGGGACCTGTTCGGGAAACACAAATGTGTTATATTTGGACTACTTTTACTCTGAACTTTTAGGAAGTGTGTTTAAATCACCTAAGTGACATGGCTTCTCAAGTGGACTCAAGAAAGTATCACACATGGTTGTGTGCTGACCCAAAACAACACACCTTCTGTATTTTGATGTTGAAGGTCCCTGCACATGTAAATATGAGCACATATACCCACTGGCTGATAATGAGCAGCTGGTTGTAGATGGCTCAATTGAAGGTAGGAAAGCCAGTCACTACTTGAGACAGTCCATGACATTTAAGTGAATACAGGGAGTATTAGGAAGTATTTTCAAAAGGAAATGTCATTTCTTCCTTGCCCCTGCCCCCCAGGCTCTGGAAAAGGTGTTTTTGTGGGCTTGTTGTTGTTTGGTTTCTTTTGTGCTTATTCTTAGTGTAGAACAAGAAAACAGGTTGTTTTTCTTAGGTTGTATATTAAATTTCTTTTATAATAACAGAAGAATTTTTATTGTAGTCATGATAATCATGAAACTGCTCTAAAAATAGCCCACTGGAGAAAAAGTATATGCCAAACAAATTGAGCTGGAAAGCTTCTTCTTAATGTAGCCCATGATCCTATGGGTTGGGAATTAAAGATCTTGAAGCCTGGGGCCGGCATTTTGTCCTGGTTGCATGTGGATCAGGCTAGCTTTACAATTTCACACTGAGCTTAATAGAGACATTATTGTGAGGGACAAACTGTTCTGGCACGCAAGATGTCTCACAGTGCAGGCCCTTGACTTGGTTTGAAGGATTATGTTTCAACAGATGCCACATGCCTAGCACTTGGGGATAAAAAGTCTCTGTCTTTGATGAAGTCCAAAGATAAAGAGCAATCACTTTTCCACCTGTTACAACACAATTGTTTTCAGCAAGTTGGACATCCTCTCCTTCCCCACTCAGGGTGGGAGGTTAGCAGTGAATGGGACTTACTGGTGTTCATTGGCTATTGCTGTATTTATTGCCAGACCACTCATGAGACCTCAGGAGCCTATATCCTCCCCTTTAGAATGCAATTTGGTGATTGTGGCTGAGATTATAACCAGGAAGTCACTTTTCAGTTTACCTCCTCCAAGGGGGACACTGAGTGAGACACAGGGGACATGAGCAGTGAGCCAAGCAGTGCAATGAATCAAGCAACAAGCATATCCTCTATTAGGGTCAGTTCTGTGGCCATTTGGCAGTTATATAATTGACCAAGGCCAGCAATCAATTTGCAGTGCCACATGATCCTTCATGTTGTAAATGCTGTCAGAATGTGTTACCAATATTTGAATTAAATATTCCATAACCTACAGGTTCAGCAGACAGCCCAGAAACTCTTCTCTGGGCTTACTGAATACTCTACACAATGAAGTAGAGTGGAAATCTAAGGCACATTCTGATGTGTAACAACACACTGCTTAGAAATCTAAGGCAATTCTAATATATAATACTGAAATGTTTTAGAAAGAGGAATGCACAGAGTACACTAACTCCTTCGGCACTGTTTACGGTCACCAATCACACCAATCACTTCTTTTGCTCTCATTAGACACAGGAGTATAAATACTTTCTTAACATTGCTATATACACCCTTACCTTTTGTCCTGGAGGCCCCAGAGGTCCCTAAAAGAGGAGAAACAATTCAATTTAACATAATACTACTGTGCCCTTTAAGCTTAGATGACCAACCAACCAACCAACTAGCCATCAAAACCAAGTCATCCTATTCTGTAAGGTTCTCTTTGCTGCATTAAAAAAATTCTAAAAAGGAAATTCTCAGTTGGAAATACAAAGTGGGTAAATATATATAATTTTTGAAAGTCATTAGTCACAAACAAGAGGGATCTAATTTCTTGTTTACAAAGAAAATGCCTGGGGTCTCAGTGCATTTGTTTCTTGATAACTGCCAAGTTACCAAATCAGTCTCATTTGAAGGGCCGGGGATATTGTTGCTAGAAGTGTTAAAATCCAACACCATTCTGTGGAAAATGGATGCATTCCATAGTGCCTTCACCAGTACACCCCTTATAAGCAGGCTTGTAAGCGGAGACACCACAGAGAAGCATGTTGAGTTTTATTCTTATGAATTATAGTCAAGTGACCTGCACAAAATCCTGTTTACAAACTGGGGAGGCCAAGGCCAAAGGCAGTGTCTGGTGTGCACCCGAGAATGGAGTGGTTGCCAGGGATGTTGCCAGCCCTTGTCAGACTGCTATCTGAGAGGCAGGTGGAATACAGTATTTAGTGAGATGAAGAGGAATATTTACTTAGAAAATGCAAATGTGACAGTTGTGAAATTAAGCAGTTCTCAACCACAAAGTCAGTGTTACGATCTGTTGGCTTAATTTAGATTAAGGCTTGGCTTTCCGACAATGGAAAAGAACACATGGAACTACAACCTCATTTCTGACTCCTTATGTCTACTTTTAAATAAAAGTATTAGGCATTCTCTCTAGTTCCTTAAGAAATGTATTTGATTTAGGTGTGTTTTAGTGAGTTTACGAGGTCACTACTTACACAAAAGCTCTTTAGTGCATCATGCTGACCCGTAATGACTTATTTTCAATGTGGGATGTTAGCATTAATCAGCATCTGACATTCATACTCTGTAATATGCTCTGTAAAGCATGAGCATGATCTTCAGGGGAAGAATGTGTCCTGGGTTTTTAAAAATTAAATAGTCATGGTGTTTAGAAGCATCCAGAGACTTGTTCCCCCTGCTATTCCGAACAGCCCTCACAGGAAGACTCATTTCCTCTACAATCAGCCTTGAGTTAATGAATGTGTGTTGTATCATATCAACTCTTATTCCTTCTTGACTCATTCTGTTGAACAACCAGAACCACTATCTGCATATCTGTGGGCATTCTCCCTACCCATCTTGCTCCCTTTTAAATTCTCCATTTTAGAGTTTGCAGAGAAAATGGACCATCAGGTGTAAATCCCATCGGGATCACATCTCTCATCAACCCAAGCCCACATGGAACTGAGAGGAAGATGAGCCCCTCCTCCCTGAAAGCCATCAGGTAGACTCTGGAATTCATCCTTGCCTCTGCCTAGGGGGACCTTTTCCAATCAGTTACCCCTGCATCTGTATCAGCCTGCTCTTCTCCACCAGTTCTTTCTTTTTAGTACATAAACATGTTTAATCATTTCCTCACTTGTGTAAATTGTTTGGGAAATGAATGTCAATGCTGTAAGCAAGGGCCCAAGTTGCAAGCTCTGATAGGGGATCTGAGAAGGGAGAAAAGCCTTGGGTTTATCATTGCCCAGGATTTCATCTTCTCAAGTGTCTCCAGAGTGTTTCCCTTCCTGACACGCTGAGTTTGGAAAGGAAACTCTGTGATGAGGACTGTATTTATTCAGTGTTTAGACGGAGGATGTATATGTTCAATTCACAAAGGTTGCATTCCCATTCCAACTCTGCCACTTGAAAAAAACATCTCGTTCATTAAATTGGGTATTCCATTTCAGGGGAACATTTCAAGGAAAAACAAGAGAATTGTATATCAAGTATTGTAAACGGAGACTAACATACATGGGATTTTCTGATTTGTTCTTTGTTGCATGGTAATATTAAGTCAGAGATTTGGAAAGACTAATCACATAAAATTAGACTAACATATTTTAACGCAATAGTTTAGAAAAATCAAATAACCAAAGAAATTGAATATATTTTCCCTTCGGGTTTAGGAAACTGGTGTTATTTTTGTAAATTCCTAAAAGGAGTTTTTTTTTTAAGATTTACCATTAATTTTGAATTATGAATACATGTCTTATAGATTATTTGCAAGTCTACTGCCAAGATGTATTCTCAGTTACAAAAAATGTACATATAATTCTTAAATCTCACTGCAGGAAAAATGGTAGGGAGCCAAGGAGAGTGTCATCCATTACCAGAAGGGGATCGGGAGGAAAGCTGAGCTAAATACAAGTGCAGACATACTTTTGAGTAAACAAACAAACACTTGGGTATATATGCATGCACACACGCACACTCGCACACAATTTATTGAACTAAACAAGATTTTCCTTATGTATGTTTTAAATGTTTAAATTGATGACACTGTTATATATCTATGACAATGTAGTAATTAAATATAAAAGTATAACTTAAGGTTTTCTGCTCAAAAATCAATTTTGAAATTAAGGTATGTTGTTACCAGCTTGTTAAGACATGTGCATCTCATTAGCTTTCTTTCTGGTACAAATGTGAATTTATAAAGTAATAGTCAACACTATAGACTATTCATTCATTAGCTCATGCAATCTTTTGAAAAACTGTTGTCTGTGTTGTGCATGGGTGTGTGTCCATGTGTCCATGTGTCTGTGATGTATGTTTCCAAATGTGGATATACTCTATGATGTGTATGTATGGAAGTGAGAAGAAAACTCATGGGAGTCTTTTTTCTTCTCCTAAATGGGTTCTGGACTCTAACTAAGGCGGCTAGGTCTGTTTACCAGGTGCTTTTATATGCTGAACCAGCTTGCTGGCCCAACTTGTCTATTCTAAATTTATTCTTTCAGCCCGAATAATGGCTTGGATGAAGGATATCATAAATGCATTATTCATTAGTGAACCTAATGTTTCTTTTTACTACTAATATTAGGAATCCAGTATTTCAAGACTTCTAAAGTAGTTCTATTTAGTGTTATATCAATATCCCAGTTAAGTTTGGATAAACAGTTTTCAGAACAGAGTTATACTTTGTTTGGTCCATTTTTCTTAGTACAGTATTTCTTCTTAGACATTTTTCTTGGCAGGTACATTTATACTTTGAATATTTTTGCACACAGTCAAAATAGAAATTTGATTTTTCAAAATAATTCCTGTATGTTTTAAAATTAGAAACTATGCTATATGTAGATTACTGACATTAAGGTGTATTTCTTTCAGTTTAACTTACTTATCATGTATAATTTGAAGCTTGAAATATCCTCATGTCAATATAGATTATGAGTGATATAAGATATATGGTTTTCATTGAAGAATTCTGTGTAGTGCAATAGCTTCATTTAAAGGATTAAAAGCTGGGGCTGGAGAGATGGCTCAGAGGTTAAGAGCACTGACTGCTCTTCCAAAGGTCCTGAGTTCAATTCCCAGCAACCACATGGTGGCTCACAACCATCCGTTATGAGATCTGATGCCCTCTTCTGGTGTGCAGATATACATGGAAGCAGAATGATGTATATATAATGAATAAATAAAATATTTTTTAAAAAAAGGATTAAAAGCCATTCAACAATTCTGTGTGGAGAAGTACTAATAAAATATATATATATATATATATATATATATATATATATATAGAATTATGCAAACAAAGTTTAGGCAGAAGATAATAAGCAAGAATTGTACAATATACTTGCTTGTCCTTGTTTTCTCCACCTCTGCTAATTCTACTCTAATGATTATATACAATATTCAGTATATAGTGAGCAAATAAATCAAATATGATAGTTCCCAAGGGAGTGGTTTTCTTTAACCAAAAGCATGTTAGCTCAGCCTGATACCCCCCTGACTTCCCCTGCCTGAGTCCATCAGGCTTGTCAGTGTGTCTTTCTGGTCCCTGCCCGTGTGCTGAACAGCTATGCCCATTCCAAAGTCCTTTGCTCCTTCCCTAGTTAATGTGACATCTATCTAATGGCCTTTTGTCTCCCTGTGTCTTTCTGCACACTGTTGCCTGAGGACATTTCCTGAGATGCTGTTTAAACGTCTGTTGACAACCTCTGTAGTTATTGAGATGAGCTTGGGCTTGGATAAGAGTTGTACTTCACCACATAAGCATCTCAACAACTCTGGGTGCTTGCTACAACTGGGGCTTTTTATCAGAATCCAAGTTCGGTGTCCCTGCCTTTGGGGGTAGGTCTGCTTCACCATTCTGCAAAGCGCCATCATAACAGGACTTTTTCATAGAATTATCAACATTACTGTAATGCTTTGTGGTATTGTAAAAGTTATTCCTTTTCTTCCATTCTATTTTTTATTATGTAGGAAGCTGGCCCATGGCAAATTATTCAGCGAATCATGTTTTCATTCAATCCTTTTATCCACTTACTTAATAACTAACTGCATACTGAGTGCCAGGCCATGCTATAGGTGTGGGGGAGACAGCAGTTATCAAAAATGGCCGTGAGTACATGCCCTTCTGGCTTCACATTCTAGTGAACGTAGAAACACAGCCAACAGTCCGTGAAGTTCTGTCAGGAAACGAGTGGGAGTTCAAAGAAGGGGCTAGGGAGGGGGACGTGGACGAGTGGCTGTGTTAAACTAGCAGCTCTGGCATAAACAGAGCTTTGTCAGGCGGGCACCGTGTGCCTGCCTGGTGACTGAGAAGATGTTAGTGGCAAGGAGACAAGTACAAAGTCCCAAACTGAGGACCACAGAAAATTTCAAAGAACACGAGTGGATGGTGGGTGGGTGTTAGAAGGAGACAGGGAAATGGATAGAGAAGTAGATTGAAATTGCATGACCTAGTGAGGACTTAGAAGAACAAGGTGCTTACTCTGACTATGATAAAAATTATAGGAATGATTATAATCATAGGATACATGTAGTCAATCCCATTTTCTTCTTAAACCTTAAACAATAATGTCTCAGGAGAGGGATGACATAACTTTTT